ATATCGCGAGGAACACTGTAAGTAGTACTTTAGTCCCAAAGTATTTAGTGTCTATATATATATTAGTATTAAATTGTAAACTTGTCGATGTTATAAAAAATGTGTAGTATCTCATCTTTTATTATGCATTACTAATGTAGTATCTCAACTAAGATAAAACAATATTGCTTAGAAATAAATTGTGATATAATTGATATATATTCTTATTATGTGTGATTTATATATTGAATATTTATGTAGTGATCTATTTTATGTTGTAATAGGACCAATAGATTTGCGGTACAATGATGTACATTTTGCATATAATGGGAACCATAGCATTGATAGTGAAAGTGATGGTAATTTGTCAGATCAGTCTGAAGGTAATGATATGTATTTTTTATTTTGCATGATTATTTGTATTATTACCATTATTTGAATTGTCTCCTATATGCAGTTGATGAATCAGGTGGTATGCATTTCATATCTAACATGGTGCATATTTCTAGTGAGGATAATTCTTCCAACCCCCATTCATTAGTCGGTATGATTAGTGTCTGTTTCTTGTGTTAGTTTGTTTGAAAAGTCTTGTCAATACATGTATTATTAATTTATACCTTGCCCTATACAGATTACATAGATGAGGGTGATCCAACTTATAGATGTCAATCATGTGGTGCTATGATGTGGTTCAATGAGAAAGTTGGGAATTGCAAATCAATAATGACTCCTAGATTTTCAATGTGTTGTTTGAATGGAAAAGTTCAGCTTCCATTGATAACTCCACCTCCTGAATTGTTCATCAAGTTATTCTTTGACAAAACATCAGCTGAATCAAAGAATTTCCATTTGAATGTGAGGTCTTACAATAACATGTTTTCTTTTACTTCAATGGGAGGCAAGATTGATCATTCAATGAATCGTGGAGGCAGTCCATACACCTTTGTTCTTTCTGGTTTGAACTATCATAAGATTGGCAGTTTGTTACCTCCAGAAGGTGCAAAGCCTGTGTATTCTCAGCTATATATATATGATACTGAGAATGAAGTTTCAAATAGAATATCTGCCGTCAGGTATGCATTGTTATTTTACTAACTGTCATAATATTTATGTCCTTATTATTAACCTATATGTTTACTTATATTTTTATTATCTTGGTACAGCAAGCATATAAAGGAGAGCACTATTGATCCTCACATTGTTGACAAAATAAAAGATGTTCTTGATGAGGTTAATCCACTTGTCAAACAATATCGGTTGGCGTCTTCAATGATAAATGTGCCACAACATTCTGAGTTGAAGTTATGCTTAATCAGTACTAGAAATCAAGATGGGCGTAATTATAACTTGCCATCTGCATCTGAGGTTGCAGCTTTAATAGTTGGTGACATTGATAGGAATTTCAGTAGAAGAGATGTAATTGTTCATGAATTGTCAGGTTCACCTCAACGTATAGATGAGCTGCATCCATCATATCTCCCGCTTCAATATCCGATTTTGTTTCCAAGAGGTGAGGATGGTTATAGAGATGATGTTGAACATCGTGCAGAGACTCTTAGTAGAACCAGAAAGAAGAAAATGCTTAGCATGAGGGAGTATTTTGCATATAGACTGATGTCAAGGGAAAATGAAATGTCAGTATTGCTACATGCAGGAAAACTATTCCAACAATTTATTGTTGATGGATACACAATGATTGAATCACAACGATTATTATGGGTGAGGACACACCAGAAGGAACTAAGGGCTGATTTATATCAAGGGTTAACAGATGCGTTATTAAGTGGGGAAAGGAATGCTTCATCAGTTGGGAAACGTGTCATAGTGCCTTCATCATTTACTGGGGGCGCACGATATATGCTTGGAAATTATAAAGATGCCATGGCTCTTTGTAGATATTTTGGATACCCAAGCATTTTCATTACATTTACATGTAATCCAGCATGGCCTGAAATAACAAGGTATTGTGAGGGTAATTCTTTATTATCATCCAATAGGCCAGATATTTTGTCACGAGTATTTCATATGAAGTTGAAAGCCTTGATGTCAACAATTAAGAAGAAGAAGATATTTGGCAGAGTTTGTGCAGGTATATGAATTCTACATCTTGCTTTACTTTTTGTAGTGATAATGACATTAAAATGACTAATTATTTTATCAAAATTTTATTCCTTTCTTGTGTAGATGTATACACCGTAGAATTTCAAAAAAGGGGGTTACCTCATGCACACATTCTGTTGTTTCTTGATAAAAATGATAGACCTAAAGATGCAAATGATGTTGACAAAGTTATATCTGCAGAGATACCGGATGAGGAACAAGATCCTGTTTTGTTTGAACTAGTGGAAAAGTTTATGGTACATGGACCATGTGGTCATTTGAATAGGAAATCACCTTGCATGAAAGATAATAAGTGCAGCAAGTATTTTCCTAAAAGATTTGTTGACAACACAAGCATTGATGATGACGGTTATCCAACGTACAGGAGAAGAAATGATGGGAGAACTGTAGAAATAAGAGGTATTCGTTTGGATAATCGCTTTGTTGTTCCGTATAACCCATCTTTGTTGCGGCAATTCCAAGCTCATATCAACGTTGAGAAGTGTAATCAATCTTCTGCTATTAAGTACTTATTTAAGTACATTAGCAAGGGTAATGATCGTGTGGTGGCCTCTATTTATGATACTTCACAACATCACAATGGTGAACTATCGTTTGATGAGATTCAACAATATTACAACTTCCGATATATTTCTGCATGTGAAGCTGCTTGGAGGATTTTTGCCTTTGAAATTCATCATAGGTATCCCGCTGTTGAAAGGTTGAGTTTCCACTTGCCTAATCAACAATATGTTATATATTCTACTGGTGATGATGTATCTGAACTTGTAGATAAACCAAGGGTGTGTGAATCAATGTTCCTTGCATGGATGGAAATAAATGTACATGATGTGTTTGCTAAAACATTGACTTACTCTGAATTTCCTCATCATTATGTGTATATTAGAACTAAACGAGCTTGGAAGCGAAGGGAAAAGGGGTTTGCAATTGGAAGGATTACTCATACTCCACCTTCTTCTGGAGAACTCTACTACCTTCGTATTCTAATTACTAAGGTTAGAGGTCCAACTTCATATGAGGATATTAGAACTGTGAATGGTGTTCTTTATCCCAGTTTCCGAGCTGCATGTTATGCCCTTGGATTGCTAGATGATGATAATGAATACATAAATGGCATCAAGGAGGCATCATTATGGGCTTCAGGTTCAATGTTAAGGAAGATGTTTGTTAGCCTGCTTCTTTGTTCATCATTAAGTCGGCCTGATTATGTATGGAAAGAGACATGCAAATTATTGTATGAGGATTTGTTATACATTCCGTGTAATGATCCGATGTCTACATGTGAGTTTCCAATATATCTTTTATGCTTTAGTTGTATCCTAAAGTTTTATTGTGTTGTTGCATTAAACTTTATGAATAACGAAGTATGTAGTTGATTCATGTTGTTCTTATGTCTACAGGTATATCTATTTCAGATACCATGAAAGAACAAGAAGCGTTGAAAGAGATTGAATTATTGCTTCAACAGAATGGCAAGAGTCTTATTGACTTCCTATCGCTTCCTTGTCCTCCGAAATGCGTAAACCTGGATGTAAGAAATCATTTGATCTTACAAGAATTGAATTATGATCGTGATGTGTTATTAGATGAGTCAAGCAGGCTTATGAATCTGTTGAATATGGAGCAAAGAAATGTTTTTGAAGTAGTGATGTCTTCAATTAATTCTAAAACTGGAGCATTTTTCTTTGTATATGGGTACGGAGGGACAGGAAAGACATTTCTGTGGAATGCATTAACATCAACAATTCGTGCTAGAGGTGATATTGTCTTAACAGTTGCATCTAGTGGCATAGCTGCTACTCTATTACCATCCGGAAGAACAGCTCACTCAAGGTTTGCAATCCCTATACAAGTCAATGAAGATTCTGTTTGTAATATCAAACAGAATTCACCTTTGGCTAATCTTATTATAGCTACAAAGTTGATTATATGAGATGAAGCTCCGATGGTTCAGCGTTTTTGTATTGAAGCTTTTGATCGAACATTAAAGGATATTATGCATTCAAATCATCCTTTTGGTGGAAAATGTGTATTAATGGGTGGTGACTTCCGTCAAATTCTCCCTGTTATTCCACGAGGTACAAGAGCTGATATTGTTAATGCATGTATTAACTCTTCATATTTGTGGGAGTATTGCACAATTTTCCATTTGACAAAGAATATGCGTTTGTCTTCATCGTCATCTAATGATAGTTGTGATCGGATACAAAACTTTTCACAATGGCTTTTGGACATTGGTGAGGGTAAGGTAGGTATGTCGCATGATGGTGTAGCAGAGATAGAGATACCATCTGAATTGTTGGTTGATAGTTGTGAAGAACCAATTTGTGCCATTGTCTCATCAACTTATCCAGATTTGTTCAGTAACTTGAGCAGTACCTCTTACTTCAATGATAGAGCCATATTAGCACCTACAATTGATGCTGTCAATCAAATCAATGAATATATGTGTAAAATGATGCCTGGTGATTCTGTTGACTACTTTAGTTGTGACTCAATTTGCAAAACATCTCAAGATGAAGATGGTGTTGAAGATCTGTATACTCCTGATTTTTTGAACACTATAAATTGTTCTGGATTACCAATGCATAAACTAACTTTGAAGGTCGGAATGCCAGTCATGCTATTAAGGAATATTGATCAAGCATCTGGGTTATGTAATGGGACTAGGCTACGCATTACTCATCTTGGTAAATCTGTTGTTGAGGCAGTGACATTGAATGGATCTAGGCCAAATGAGAAGGTTTTAATACATCGAATGGATATGAATCCTTCTGATAGTTGTTTGCCATTTATCATGAAACGAAGACAGTTTCCCATTGCTGTTTCATTTGCCATGACAATTAATAAAAGTCAAGGTCAGTCACTTCATTTTGTTGGCTTGTATTTGCCTAGACCAGTGTTTACACATGGGCAACTATATGTGGCTCTTTCTAGAGTGAAATCAATTGAAGGATTGAAGATTCTATTGCACGATGGTGAAAGTGGAAGGAGTAGGACTACTTCCAATGTCGTTTACAGAGAAGTGTTTCAAAATCTTGGCATGCGTAAGTGATAGCTTTTTTTAATGATCAGAAAATTTGTGATATTGAAATTATATAATTAAAACATGTGCTATATTTTTTTAACAGACATTTGATTATAATATGTACTAATGTTTTTTTTGCTGATTTGTTAGTTGTCATTTTTCTTGTATTAAGTTTTATATTTGTTCTCAACTACTGTTTTAAGTTCTGTTTTACTGTCTAAATGATCAGGTTTAGATTTTAAGAATTTTTTATGTCATAACTCAATAATTTAATGTAAACATATATGTTTGATTTGGCATTGGGCTTCAAGGTACCTCATATAAGCCCTATATTTCATTAATGATCATATCAAGAGGTTAATTTTCCAATGAGCAAACTGATTTCAGGATAACAATCATGTCCCTGCAGTTACTTTTCCCTAGGAACGTTTACTTGCAATATTTAAGTTTCTTAATTGCTGTTTTGAGGGAACATTGAGTTGTAATTAACATTTGCTTAATCTTATTGTATTTTTAAGAAAGGCTTCTATAGATGAGTTGTTTCATTTTAAAAGTGTGTTTCTCTATATAGTTTTTTTTTTCATTTAGTTGTTCTGATGATTCACTAATAAGTTGCTTCATTTTCTGTCACTGTTTTTTCTCAGTGGACTGTAGTGATGGAGTTATATTGTAATCTTTCCTCTCTTAATCTCAGCAAGTGCAATGCAAGTGTGATTGTGAAAGTAGACCAGAAGTATATCAGGAAGAAGGTGTGGTATACTTTGGAAAATCGTCATCCTGTTTTTGAAGTGGAATCTATGGACATATTCTTTTTTGATGCTTAGGTATGCCTTTTGGAATCTTTTATTAATATTGCATTTTTTTGTCTATTATAGAGATTATATGTGGACCAATAATGTTCCTTTTTTTTTCAAGAACAGTCATGTAATCTTGCAATTAATGACCAATGATCACATTGATCGATTTGCATCGAAGTTCGTTGAAGGTGGTGTGCACCAAATTTCTGGTATGTTCATGTTGGTGGTCTTAGTCTGCATGACAGATAGTATATATGTTTTGTCGCTTCAACCGAGGTTATAGAGAGAATAGATGAGTTTCCCTGTTATTCATTTAACTTGAAAAATGTTTTTGACATTTGCTATGGAATATTTGAAGAATTTTTTTTATGGTAAGATTTTGTGATGATTTTTTATTTCTAACCGTTGAAGCCCTGAAGGAAAATCTGATTTCTGAAAAAGTTTTGGGTGATAAAGATATTTATGGACTTTTGAAATATTGGAGTTTTGTTAGTCCTATAAAGCTTATTGGAGTATACAGGGAGGAATTGGAGATCGTAAGACATGAGATGGTCACGTTAGAAGGATGGTACTATGGTTTTGATCTTGTAAGCTTAATGTGTTATCCCATTTGAATTTACATACTGATACTTTCATCATTTTGGGGTTATGGAAATTAAATTTTGTCAATCAGCCGAAGGAGTTGACTATTAAGCTTCATGATGAGTGTGCTGCGATTACTCTTGCCAAGATAGAAGCCAGGGGGTGAAAGCTGAAGATTTTCTGATTATATAATATGCTATTGGCATGCTTCATAAGAACGATGGTACAACAATTTTCCCTTCATTTGTTAATAAGTCACAAGTTCATGCTCGTAATTTCTATTAATAGCAAGATTCAACGTTTATTAGACAGAGTGAGATATTTTATCCTACTTATAGTTGTTATATGCAGGTGGACCCGTGCTTAGCTCATTTTCAGGTGCCATAAGAGTGTTATTTGATGATGATCTTAAGTAGCTGTTGTACTTGTGCACCACGATTGCTGTCGGGAATATTTACCTCCATAATATTTTTCTTATTTTCTTTTTTTGTGTTGTATGTATCCCTCCTCTTTTTAAATCATCGGGTAATTTTTATGAAGTTCATGGCCATGTAATTAACAGCATATGCTTTGAAAGAGTTGCTCTAATCTCATCTTGACATGATGTCCCCACATTAAGTGATGGATAGTAGCAGTCATTGATCGATATTCTTGTGGCCCGTGCAACGCACGGGGGATTTTGCTAGTTGAAACTCTAACAAAAAATCATTCTAACAAAACTACTTGAAAAGAAATTGAAAGACATTTCAAACAAACATTAAATTAGTGCGGAAAAATTTCTTATAATTTTTCTTGTTTGTGAATCACGTGAAAACAAATATCGAAAAACATTATCATATTTTAATTTGATAGGAAGAGATATCAATGATTATAGCAAAACTTTGATTGCCAACTAATTTTTGCCAACCACTAGTTCCACGTCAAAAAAGGATTGGCCTTTATAGCTGCGGATCTATGGTCTTCTTGCAGAAATAACATTGATCTCCAGTTGATAAAAATATATTTTTTACTTAAATGGTGTTATTTTTTGTTTGAAATAATACTTATTCACCACTTTTGAGGGTGAAAATATAAGTGACTGTGGCCATATATGTGTGTGTCAGTGTATATATCAAATTTAGGTTGTAAATAGGATCAAAGATGTGACTTCTCATTTAGAAGAGCTCTCATGCCACTAGATTATAAGGTTATTAACTGAAAGTAATAATTCTATAACCTTGTTTTCAAAAATTGAAAGCAATGGGTCACTGTTACATTGCATTTCGTAACTCTCATCTTTCTATATATCTTATTCAATATTAAACATTTCGAACGATGCATAGACTTCAACATTTCAAAACGTCGATAATGAGAAGACTAACCACAAAGTTGCGTTCATCTAAAGTGTTAATAAAAATTGTTCTATCATACTTTCTAAGATACAACGTTCAATTCAAAAGCTTATATATTACAAATTTTGCGATAAAACTAATGTGAAAAACTATGACGATAAATTGACTTCAAGGGGGTTTAATGCTGCTGGAATTTACTTTAGGTTATTGAATTTAATTGGTACTGCTTTGCTGTCTATAGTCAAATTTCCTTTCCCAATTTGATTGTTTAATTGGGTTAGCTCAGTCTTAACTACATATTCAAAAGATTCAATTTGTGGTTAAATTATTTAATACCCGAGGTGTCTCAAATGCTTACTTAGGGTTCTCCATAGCTAAGCGGCCCTTACTTTCTAATCAAATCTTCTCATGTCCACAACATTAATAAGGAAAACTTGATAGTCCCATGTGAGATATGCATCAATTGAGACACATGGCTACATAATTACATTAAAACCCTTGAATTCATCCTTGCCTCCTCTTCATCACATATTCGATAATAATAAATGTAGAATATAAAATATACTTATTATAATATACAGTTTTCGGTATATTGTTGATTTGATAGACAAAGATCAAATACCGTTGATACAAAATTGCTCCATCATTGTCCCGAGCTCTCTACCCTTCTCCATGGCGACAATACCTCTGTTTGCCACCCTTGTCTTACACATTTTGATGGTAATTCTCACAAATCGCTGATGTGATCCCAGCTTGATGAATAACTTTACAGTCAAAATTAAATTCAATTCAAATTTCATATAATTTCCATCTTTTCCAATCTTAAATGAGGCTGAAATCTTTAAATGGTGTAAAATTCTGAATAATAAAAATAATAATTTGTTGAGAATACCTCAATTTGTTGAAGGGATGGGAAAGATGGACTTTAAAATGGACACTCTTGAGAAATTTAGTATCTTTATTGATGCTTCAAACTTGGTTGAAGTTAATAACTACCTCAGAAGCTTGGGGATTTCCATAATGATTATATCATCGCAATGGCTTAGCAACATTAGATTGCCATGCAGCGTATCAGAAAACCTATTATGGTTTGAATCTGATGAATAACTTTATCTGCTAAGGGGATGTACTACATGACACACCAACGATGTTGGAAGAGAAATTGGTGTAGTCAGATATAAATTCACTGATGAAAAAATAAAGAATTGATCATTAATTAGCTTTAAAATAATCAGTTAAAGATGATTATATGAACAGGCCTGAAAAATTCATTGACATCCGTTACAAATATAATCTATTAATGAATTATTAGTTACTTCACGAAAAATATTCTACTAATATATAAACATAATTGGTCAAAAATAAATAAATTGGGAATCTTCCATTTTAGGACTCTAATATTTGAATTCTCTTCAATTATCTAACTATATATGGACAAGTATAAAAACTTTTTATTTTGACTTGTTCCCTAATATTTTGTCCCCCTCCATTCTTTTTCATCTTAAACATTCAGTGTGCGGGCTTAATTAAAAAACATTTAATGTATAATTCCCTTGTGATAATGAAGTAATTTAATCCTATAGGCAAGGAGTTATTGTCACATAATGAAAAGCATTAACTTTTATTTGTCCTTCTATTTGTAATACATAATAAAAAGCATTAACTTATTGTCACATCAATTTGGTCTTTATATACAAAATTGTCATCAAAATATTTTCTTGATGTGCCTATGTACTTCTTAAGAGATTGGCTACAACAGCAAGAGGCAAGAAGGGAGTGGGATGAAGTTAGTTGAAGATCAACTTTTGTGTCTACATACTAAGCTCAAAAAAAAAAAAAAACAGACTTCAGCTTGGAGTACAAGAATCACAATTCACAAATCACTACACCAAGTAACAAAAACAAGGAATAAAAAACCAATTTCTTCTAATCTATACGAGACCAGAGAAGGAAAAGTACATACCTAAGAATTTGTCTTAGGAATATGAAAGCATCCCTTGTAACCAATTTTTGGGAATCGACAAACACTCCATGTGGTGATAGTCTTACCTTAGTTTGCCAGAAAATTAATGTCCAGTGAGAGCTCATTGATGCAAAAGAAATTTATCAACTAAATATAAACTTCAATTGTGAAAGCACAGACAATTCTAGCATATAAAAAACTAAGAAAGCAAATGAAGGAAAAGGAAATCATCAACCAAATATGGTGGCTTTAATTAGGAGACAATTGATGCTGTGTAATTCGGTTTATAAGGTGATTTGTTAAATTTTAATAAAATTAGCATCAATAGAAACACCAGAATTATTTTGTAAAAGTGAAAATTTGGCACCAATTACTATAGAGTACCTTAGGATTACTTGAGTAAAAGAGTAGTTTCAGAAATATTCCTCAAGCTGTCTATTATAACTAAGCTTTCCACTGTGATAAATCAACAGCTTTAATCATTGTTTATAATCAACCCCTATTGTAATGACTACATTCTTCAGTCTGATGTCATGGCCTATGAACTGAATTTTAATTAACAAATGAAGAATTAGTTGTAAGGATAAAGACTAAAGTGGGACAGATGAAGAAACAATTATAGTGGCGCATGTCAAATACTCCTAAAAGACCCAATATTTACCAACAAAAAGTTATGTATGTTTATTAGACAACCTGATAACAAACGCTTCAAAATAAGACACATTTCATGCTTAAAAATTTTACCAATTAAAATATACATTAATATACCTTTGGTATGCCATTGATTTGATAGGTAAAAATCAACATACTGTAAGACGCATCCTCTTGATCATCTTCATCAATATCATGTGCTTTCTTAAACTCCATGGTTAATTGCACAAAAAAATCAAGTATCAACATAATCAATTGATTTTTATCTAATCTAATCAAATCAAATAGAATGCAAGAGAAGACACAGAACTAATCATAAAAATTGATACCCAGACTAAACAAAACCCTACCTAAGCCAATCAAAAATACCTAAAGACAAAAATCAAAAAGGACACAAAACAAGGCAAAGAGTGAAATGACACTGGCATAATCTAAGTAGTAGAAGTTATATATCTGAACAACACAACCATCAATACCTTACCACTTGCTTCAAAAATCAAATCGACACCACTGGCTCACCAACAACAGAGCATTTCATGACAGATTTAAATAGATTGTAACAGATGATGAGTTTTAGCCAAACATGCCTCTATATCACAGCTGTAAAGAGCCAGATTTAAAAGATTCACCATCAAATCATTAGTCTGAGAAACAACAAATTCTCCACTGACATCGCCATCCACACACAAAGTACCACAAACACATCGTCAGCCCCACAAACCAAATACTCTCACTTTGCTAATAGCAAGAAGAGCGTCGCCAAGAACCGCAAGACATAGACAGTCAAGGAACAAATTGCACTCTAACAAAGTGAAAAGGGAAAGGGAAATTAACCCTATGCGACGCAGCCTATTGATTTAAATAGACTCTTTCCTCTAGAAAATTCTATCAATCTATAAATAAAGTCCTGCAAAAAATGTTAGTGTGCACGGGGGCGAGGCGAGAGAGAGAGAGAGAAATTTTAGGGTTTGGTTTTCAAAAAGTGTAAGAGAGAGGGAGGAATAAGTTTAGGGTTAGGTGATTTGAGAATAATTTTTAATTAAAAAAGTGAAACTCATTCAAATTCTTAAATATACCGTGTATCTAATTTTTTTAATCCTTTCCCTTTGTTGAGTATTAGTGGATGCATGTACAATGAATTATGCGCAGTTCACTACAAAAAAAAAAACATGTTATTAGCGACAGAATTTAACGACGAAAACAAATTTGTTCCGGCACTAATTGGATTAGCAGCGGAATTAAAATTCCGTCGCTAATTAGCCACATATTAGAGATAGAATTTTTTGTTACTAATCCATCACTAATTACCGACAAAAATTTCTGTCATAAATTAGTGATTAAAAAAATTCCGTCGCTAACCCAATTTTTGGACAAAAAAAATTAAAATGCCATGTGGCGCCTCTATCAATCGCCATGTCATCACCGACGATGACCGCCGACCACCTCCATGTGTCCCTG